TCAAGAAGAAGATATAACAATGGTAAATATATATGCACCCAACACAGGAGCACCTCAATATACAAGGCAACTGTTAATAGACATAAAAGGAGAAACTGACATTAATACAATAATGGTGGACCCTGATGCCTTACGCCCATCAATGGACAGATCATCTACACAGAAAATCAGTAAGGAAACACAGGCCTTAAATGACACATCAGACCACATGGATTTAATAATTGATATTTATAGAGCATTCCATTACAAAGCATCAGAATACACATTCTTTTCAAGTGCACATGGAACATTCTCCAAGATAGACCACATGCTGGGCCACAAAGCAAGCCTTGGTTACTCTAAGAAAACTGAAATCGTATCAAGTATCTTTTCCAAACACAAGGGTATACGGTTAGAAATCAACTACAAAAAACTGCAAAAAACACAAACACATGGAAGCTAAATAATATGCTGCTAAACAACAAATAGATCACTGAAGACACCAAAGAACCAATTAAAAAACTACCTAAAGACAAAAATGAAAATATGATGATTCAGTATGTATGAGAGGCAGCAAAAACAGTTCTAAGATGAAAGTTTACAGTGATATAAGCTTACCTCAGGAAACAAGAAAAATCTCAAACAACCTAAACTTACATCTAAAGCAACTAGAGAGAGAAGAACAAACAAAATGCCAAGTTAGCAAAAGGAAAGAAATCATAAAGATCAGAGCAGAAATAAATGAAATAGAGACTAAAAAAACAAAAGAACAGATCAAGGAAACTAAAAGCTGGTTCTCTGAAAAGATACACAAAATCAATAAATCTTTAGCCAGACTCATCAAGAAATAAAGGGAGAGGGCTCAAATCAATAAATTCAGAAATGAAAAAGAAGTTACAACTGACACCACAGAAATACAAAAGACCATAAGAGACTATTACAAGCAACTATACATCGATAAAATGGACAACTTATCAGAAATGAACAAATTCTTAGAAAGGTACAATCTCCTAAGACTGAACCAGAAAGAAATAAAAATTATGAAAAGACCTTTACTGTACTGAAATTGAATTAGTAATTAAAAGACCCCCAATAAACAGAATTCCAGGACCAGATGGCTTCAAAGGAGAATTCTACCAAACATTTAGAGACGAGTTAACACCTATACTTCTGAAACTATTTCAAAAAAATTGCAGAGTAAGGAATTCTTCCAAGCTCATTCTATGATGCTACCATTTCCCTGACACCAAGACCAAACAAAGATATCACAAAAAAAGTATAGGCCAATATTACTCATGAACATAAATGCAAAAATTCTCAGAATACTAGCATAACAACTCCAATAATACATGAAGATCATACACCATGATCAAGTGGGATTTATCCCAGGGATGCAAGGATTTTTCAATATGCACAAATCAATCAGTGTTATGTCACATTAACAAACTGCATAATAAAAACCGTATGATCATCTGAATAGGTGTAGAAAAAGCTTTTGATAAAATTCAATGTCCATTTATGATAAAAACTCTCAAGAAAGTGGGCTAACAACATACTCAATGGTGAAAAGCTGAACACATTTCCCCTAAGATCAGGAACAAGACATGAATGTCCTCTCTGAACACTCTTATTCAACGTAGTTTTGAAAGTCCTAGCCACAGCAATCAGAGAAGAAAGAAATAAAAGGAATCAAAATTGGAAAAGATGAAGTAAAACTGTCACTATTTGCAGATAACATGATATAACACATAAAAAAACCTAAAGATGCTACCAGAAAACTACTAGAGTTCATCAATGAATTCAGTAAGTTTGCAAAATACAAAATTAATACACAGAAATCTGTTGCATTTCTATACACTAAAAATGAAATAGCATAAAGAGAAATTAAGGAAATAATG